AAGAAAGAAAGAAAGAAAGAAAGAAAGAAAGAAAGAAAGAAAATTACAGATATGCAAACAGACACACGCACACAGACACAGACTAGAACCTAGGTTTTAAGGGCTTCTTCAAATAAAATAGAAATCAAAAGACGAAAGAGAATGAAATTAGGATAATGAAATTGAAGAGAGAAGTTGAAAGACTGTTGTGTAAGAAGGAAAAAGATAAGACTATTAATTATGACACAATGAACGAGAGAAACTAATCCTCTTAACACACAAAAGACTAGTTCATACCTATGAATACTATAGAGATACTCTTATACAGCTTACTTTATACGTTGATCCTATACTATACGAAATAGCTTTCTAATTAGAAAACCCAGGGGTTTTTTCCTTTTCATTTTTTGAAAAGAGCTTTCACTCAACTGTTCAATAATTCAGCTTGGTTTTTGATCACTTAGGTTCAGAACTTAGAGATAATACAAACCTTCATAAAAATCTTCAAACTTATATCGATGCCTTGAATCCTGAACCTCTGGCCTGAGCTAAGTTAACAACTAACTTAACGGCTAACTCGCAGATATTAGAGAGAGGCGAGAGGCGAGTGCACTACCACTTTCCACCCTACATTTCCAACCGCCAGCCGAAGTTATGAATTAAAGTGTTCGTAATCCACCTTTTTTTATTATATCTTTAATTTTTATGTTTTCTCGTAACACTTTTTCTCGTGACACATTTTTAGTGGAAAAGCCGTTTACACATTGTAAGTTCAACTGATGTTTTGGTTTGTTCTGGTTTCAGCCAGTGATAAAGTGATAAAACCCTAAAATGATATTATTAGGGAGGGAATTGCAAATCAATATGATCAATAATTAGTTTCCCTAATTTCAGTATTTTCATTTTTACCTTAGTTAAATCTTGCCTGAGGATATATTTAGCCTTATTTCTCTATTTAAATTGCATTCATTCATAATATATTTCTCAGCTTTGTTCGCTCTTCTTCTTCTTCTTTCTTTCTTTCTTTCTTTCTTT